AGGTTTAAATATTGAAAACAATCCTAACTCGGAAACAAAAAACGATACAAAATTGAAATCTTTAAAAAAACTCAAGCTTTAAGAAGGGATGAAAAAAATCTGATTTATAATAGGGGTTAAAGGGAATCTGTAAAACTGTGAAAGGTATAATATAGAATGTCAAGAAATATATATCTTCTAATTCTAATTCAAATTAATAAAGGAAATATCCACAATATTAACAATGTAGAATAAATCTGCTGTTAATTCATTTGTATGGAACCAGTAGAGGTAGCTTCTGTATTCAACCTTGTGAGAGGATTCCCTTGTCCATAAAATCAAAGGCTGGATAAAGGCACATTGTTTATTTCAATTATTCGACACAATTTTTTTTTCTACACATACACTCTAGTTTTAAGCATTAACCAGTTAAGATGCCTCGTGATCGTCATACATATCGTTATTCAACACTTCAATAAAGAATTTTTAACAGCTAACATGTCTTGTAGCGAGTAACTCTCAATCGTTAAAATATAACACGCGAAATTTGCTTGTCAGTAGGCAAAGCTGGCATTCATATCATGAATATAGCGTGAAATTGAATTTCCTACAAGCATATACGGTTAGTCTTGTAAATATATAAATAATTTGTTTTTAGTCTTGTTCTTGAACAACTAAATAAACATTGTGACATTCAACAGTAATTGATTTATGAAAGAAGGATTTCCTCTCTCAAAATACAGTGAACACACCTGTGGCATTTTCGTGCACAAGCGCAAAATTAAACTGTAAAGGTAACTGGGTGTTAATTTTATAGACAATCGTTCATTAAAACGATCAATACAAATAATTTAAGTCTAATTTTTTACCGATACATACATTCTATTCAGGACATTTTTCTCAACATCCACTGTTTTAACAAATTCATGAAAATTTTTCAAATGTTAAGTGATAAATAAATATGTTTATAAATTATTCGAGTCACTTCACACGTGGGTATTGAAGCCAAACAGATAGCTGAACATTACTTACTACATTTAAAAAAATATTGTACTATTCAAAGATCTAGTAAATTGTATAAAAGAATTAATTTGGAATTAGTGGTAGGAAAATTAAAGGATCCATTACTAAATTATGTGCAATTAAACCTCCTACAAAATTCCATGGGCTAGTAGAAAAAATAAAATTATAATTGTCCAGTAGTTTATATTGTCACATACTGGTAGACTATCCACAATATTATGTACATGCCCGCGAAAGCCATGAACTAAGCAACTCTTTAAAATATCATCGGTAGATCCGGATACATATTCGTATCGGACGTAGCTTACTGCTCAATGAAAATTCTCGAAAAAACTAATATACTGTGCAATAATATCAGTTGTTTGACACGATCTAGTGTGCCACATTAAATTCGTATAAATAAATAAATGTCTCTAAACCCTAAAACTTCAGTATTTACATTTTTCTTCTAGTTCGATAAACAAAAATGTTAACAGAGGTGACAGCATAAAGGATAACCCTGTACCCTGTATATCAAAATTATTTAACGTTCCGAGTTCCACCGATTGCCGCGATTTTTTTTGTTAATTTATTTAGTTAAAAATAATTGGGTAATATTCCCCTCTTCCACAATAATTCATTGTTGGGTTCTAATTAACAGTACTGTGACGGCCACGCCCCAGGCCCCTTTTTCTTTTGATTTTTATTTTTTGTTTTTACTTTGAATGTTATTTATTTACCTCACAAGTTTTACTTTACTTTAAATTCTATACTTACTGCAATTGGCCTTTTTTCCTCTAGTAGTAAAAGTGATCGTCTAGTTAATTAATTGATAATTTATATACCCACGTTGTGATAATGTTAATTTAGGTAAACCAGAATTCGATGCAAAGTTTGGTGCAAATTGATAAATAAAACATATAAATTTATATTTAAACTCTTTCTATTTTTCATACTTTAAATGTGATGCAATAATTAGCAAAATATATTACAATTGTTACTATTTACTGAGATCTCACTTGAGTCCCGTTCAAACGCAGACCATATTCATTTGCTATCAATATATATTTTATTTAGGTTGATGATCAACAGAGTTAACAAACAGCGTCAATTCGCCAGTTGATTAAATATAGTGTTATTTATATTCTGACTTAGGTTGATGACCAACGGAGTTAACGAACAGCGCCAATTCGCCAGTTGATTAACTATTGTGTTGATGTTTATATTCTTATTTAGGTTGATGATCAATGAAGTTAACGAATAGCGCCAATTCGCCAGTTAATTAACTATTGAGTTGATGTTGATTTGATTCTATTGTAGATATATACAGGTTGCACCCTCTTAGGTAAATATTACGATGAGTATAGAGGTGATGACCAACGGAAGTAACAAACAGCGCCAATTCGCCAGTTGATTACTTTACTATGTTGATTTCACATATACTTTGTTTCAAACCTTGTAGAATGGGTTGCTTAGCGTATAAGTGTCCCCCCTTGAGCTAACGAACAGCCTATTCGCCGGTTGGTTAGCTTACTATTAAATGTTACCATCTTGGTTTGTACAATTTATCCAAGATAGCACAACCCTGTATATTTCCAAAATATTGATTTTTATTATTTCTATTCAAATACTCAAAATTTCACCCATCCAAAACAGATGTTATCCTATCTTTCGGGGTGTATGACCCGAAGGCCATGTGGTTTATTGATAATATTTTACAGCAAATGTCAAGCCTGCCCTTAAACAAAACCGGGGTGCTATCTGAAAGAAAGATACGTAAATCTTTTTACTCACCACTGAAAATACAGACATTGGATTATGTATATATACGGTAGAATTATGTAGGTGGTGCGGGACGTGATATCATGAAGGAAATATTTGGGGACGGCAAGCGTCGGAAATAAGGCGTGGGAGGTTGAGCGTCGAAATGAATGTACGGTAGGAAATACTTAGATGATAAGGAATGTGACAGCGTTCGAGACATAGGGAGTAGGACGGCAGGTCGTTGGGCGTCGAGACGTTGACACCTTCGGGGATAGGAGGTATTGTAGGATAGACGTCGTTTAGGAAGAGCGTTTTAGGAAAGGTACTGATTACTGAACTTGAAATATAACTGGATACAAACAATAAATGAATGCTTGCACATCAAATAATTGAAAATGAATGATCTCGTCAAATAATTAAAATTGAATGACCCGAGCTCATTTTTGTCTGGCTTTTTATAGTAAAAGTTTTAATGGCTTTGTGACGTCTCTATGTCTTTGCTTCTCATAGAAATACGGTGGGTGCTGGGGTGGGTTATTTATTATATGCCTTGAAAGTTTTGTGTATCGAAATATTGTCGATATCGGTCTGAACATCGGAACTAAAAAATTAAGCGAGTTAATTATTTCAACGATAATTACTTCGTAAACAGAAATATGCTTTATGGTGTTTTCTTTCTCGAGGAACTCAGCCACGTGCATCTTTTTTGGACGTGGTTATAGATATTATTTATTAGGTGTCGTAAATAAGGTTTAATTATCTGGGAGATTTTTCGTTTAATGAAGAATTTTGAATTTAAAAGAATGCAATATTGTATTTAATAAATAAAATTAATAAATTATTAAGGTACCTGGGTGCGGTAGGTTACAGTACTGTTCCTAAAGTGGCGCCAGGAAACAGCAACAAGGCCTGTCTGTAGAGGTGCAGTAGTATTAATTAGAGTATTAGGCCTTCCGCGCTATAAAATGTTAGATTACTAGTATAATACATAACCTACATAGAACACGAGGCTAATGATCTAAGTTGTCGAGACACAAGACACCAATAATAGTATATTATGCAATGATCATGTAATGATGGTTATTAATACACGAGCATTAACCGGGATACGAAACGAGCCAAAGGCGAGTTTTGTATGGTTTATGTGAGATCAAGAACTATAAGTATTATATTTATATTGGTATTGAACACAATAACAGTAATTACTCGTATTTCTATAAAAAATTCTACAAAATTGCAATTAATGGTATTACCTCGGGTATTGGTATTACCATAGATTTTTGGGGCAAAACATTTTCTACTGCATTTTCTGCTTTCTCCGATATGTGTGGAGGAGTCTTTTATATCGCTAATATCAGACATTTTGATAATATAATTATCAAGGTTTAGCTATCTACGAAAATTTAATACGTTTTGACAACTAAAACAGTTACATAGGAACCTAGGACAAACGTCAAACAGCAAGCTTGATTGAAAAATTGTAGATTTCTATTGATTAAAAATCTGTATCGTAATGAAAAATCTGTATCATTATGAAACGGATTATGGGCATATAAGGGCATTATTATAATACGGGTGTAGAAAAAAAATATAACTAATTAATCCACAGTTGTTCAGAAATCTTTTAGCTAAAATATCCTTTTTCTGAATATGCTACTGAGACATCTTCGGTTCATTTGAAAAAAAAAAAAAAGAGTTACGTCAATGAATATGATTTTGCTTTATAGAAGTCTATAGACAAGACAATAATCAATAAATGACCAAAAACTATTTTTTCTGTAATTATTTGATATTAAAATTTAAAGAAATTGATAGTTTTATTATACAGGTCAAGATAAAGAATGCATCAATTTTAAGCCAATTAATTTTTTTAGTTGAATATTTAAAATAGCAGGAAAAGTAATGTCATGATATTTATTCATTTACCTACATTAATTTTCTACTTAGACTTAAATTTTGTTCTTAGAATATGATCTTCATTTAATAGATAATATTTAAAATTATTTCGATAAATATTACTTTCGCAATAAGGGCTAAATAACACCAATAAAAACACAAATGACAGACTAACTTCAGTTTTCACTGACACGTGTTGCAATCATGCATGTCTTAACGGACAACAGATATTGCACACATCTGTGCAGTACTGCTCGTTCGATAATGTATGTAGTTTCGGCTTGATTCGGTTGATTTCGATATGCACTATGCTACGTCCGATACGAATATGCGACCTGGAGAGTAACCAAGACAAAAAATTTCTAAAGAATACTACTAATTACTATTTAACATTAAGAAAGTTCATTGTTAATTAAAGGTAATAAATAAAAATCAATAAATCATCTTAGGTTGTTTTTATTATTTTATTTACAACCATACATGTAATGTTGTCATTACTAACGTCATTGAAGGTTGGGAAGTGTCACATTACACACCTCTACTTCCCGCCCTCACTTTCCGCCCTCATTTTATCTATTCTAGATGAATATTTTTTATATTTAAAAAAAATAACACATTTTTTTGACAAATTTTATAATACCTATTTAATGGCAAAAAATAAAAAACAACAATGAACTAAAATACAACAAACTACTTATTGATATTTATTATTCGCAAATTTAATATCCGGCTTTATCTGACATTTATTTATATTGGTGACAGTTGTTTACCCCGTAATCACAGTAACAATATATTTACTTGATTATTCTGAGAAAACCGCGCGCTTGGTAATTTATCGTTGAATGTAATATTTTAGGTGTTTTCAGAACGAAACAGATATTTATTAACTTTGATCGAAATATGATGGTTGTAAATAAAATAATATACAAACCTCGGTAGGAAGTTTCATTCCTGTCTCGAGATCATAGCTAACCTCGACGCTTCGAGTCTTGGTGATCTAACTAATCTTACGACAGGAATGAAACTCTTCCCACCTTGGTGTGTAATATACTATTTCTGTATAACCTCTTGTTATATTTCTGGACTGAGGACAGCTAGTGTAGGCTAAAACTACATGTTTTACATGTTTTACATTTACAATGTAACTTGTTGTCACTCTATTTTTGAGTTTTCTTTGTGAGTCAACTGAACAGAAGATCTTAAAATGATATGTAATGAATCACCTAGGGTTAAAGAAACACAAAAAACCGTCATAATAATTTATCCAACTGTTGGTATCTATATGATTCCGAAATTCTTAAACGATTAATTAATTAGTTGATACTCTTTATTTTTGCTCATTTTACAGCATATTTAGGTAAAAAAATATGACAAATTGTGTCCAGACAATATCAAGATATTAATCACTTTTTTTTATCAAACTTTTATTTTTACAGGTAGATTTAATTAATTACCATATCTATCTCATTATGCAAGACTAACCTTTGATATGAAAGAAAGTATACTTTTTGTAAATACCCACTGATAAGAAACCCAATTTTTATATAAAAATATTGATTTTTTTTATTCGGGTATTCAGTTCTGAAAAGAAAATAGAAGAACATGGCTGGTCTCAAGATTACTTTCCTCATCATCGGCGCTTTCCTGTTGGCCGCACAGGTAAATATTTAATTTAGTTTTTTATGGATTTACTCTAAATAAATTTGTTATACCAGAAGTCTATTAGGATTCGTAGAATTTTTTGTTGCAATGTTGTAGATAAACACAATATATATATATATATATATATATATATATATATATATATATATATATATATATATATATATATATATATAATATTTTGTGTACAATGGTAATCCACCTACGAAGAGTATTTGGTCCTACCAATCGCCTACTACTATGTAGGTTAATTATTGACCAATTTGTATAAGCTACTTCTAAAAAAATTTCTCGCCTTCACTTTATGAATCCGCTAGCTTTAATTTTTATGGTTTTCGAACTCCACTAAATAAGTCCTTTATGATTTATCAACGCCACTACTACTCTTTTGATAAGTTAGCAGGTTATTCATCGATTCGAAACTTTGAAAATAGAAAGTCTAACGGGCCCTATAGGCCCAAGGCTATATTTATCTTTCTTCATATTTTTCTATCGTTGATAGCTTCTCTCCACCGGCTTCCTTCTAAAATCTGCAGGTCTTCCTCCACTTGTTGTCGCCATCTTACTTTCGGTCTACCCCTTCTTCGGTTGATTTGGGGTTAGTAATTTATGACCGCTTTTGCTATTTCATAATCTTGCATTTAAAGTATATGTCCCATCTACCAAGTTCTTTGGCCTTGATGACTTTTACTGTCTGCATTTTTGTAGGAGGTCCGTATTTTCTCTGCTATGCTCCAGGCTATGCCAACTCTTATCAATTTTCTAACCTCCATATTGTATCTTTCTTATTATAATTGTTTTGTATATTTCCGGTTTGTTTTCTATATTCCCGGTTTGTTTTCTATAACATTTGTTTAGCTTTCATCATTTGCAATTATTATAGTCGATATCTCCTGATTTTTGCTTTGATAGATATCACTTTTTATCTTGGGACTTTCATGACTGCCCAGTACACATTTTTCCTTTCTTTTTTTACTTTTGATTTATTTTTTATTTTTTCCGTTTTCAGTAAACACAGATTTTTCTAGTTACCTTTAATATCTAATTTATTTTCAGTTCCCCTTTTTTGTAGGGTTCTCATTTCTTTGTAAAAGTTGTATTACTGCAATAAAATTTGTCTCTGTGCTTATATCACTCCACTATCCGAATATACAAGACATTGATAGTTCCTTGTATTTTTTTTTATATGTGGATCTCTCGTATGATGTATTCTTATCCAATAATAAGCGGGTCTTCTTACTTTAACTCACTAATTATTACAATAGTAGTTTTTTGGGCGACTACGAGAAGCTTGCCAGGCGAGGTGTAGTTGGGCCTGGCAACTCGTAAGAGTCCGAAAAAAACAGTTTTTGTCCGTGTTTCATACATTGTTTTTTAATCGAATCTGCTTATATTTTCAAAAATATATAGAAAATCAAATCTGAAATGATATTATTTAAATATCATTTTTGCTTAACTGAGTTGGCTATACCTAGTCATAAAGGGGGAGGCCAGAATGAGTGCATACAGACTGAAAATCTTTAACAACTGAAACCCACTGGAACATGTAAAACATACCAGAATAACACATGAAGTAAATGATTCTATATTAAATATGGGATCAGATCACATGACACACCTCCTAACCTTTAACAGACTCTTCCAGGTCAACTGTAACTGAAACGAGGTAAATAAGGAGATAGATAAATACTTGCTTAGCGGTCTCGTATAGTATACGGATCGATCTAAAACTAACAAGTGAACAGGCTCTGGCGTACATGGAGTTAAACCCAAATGCGACATCATCGTCTCAATGGGAAAACATGCCACTGTATTGCAGGCTGAAATACATGCAATCGAATTGTGTGTACGAGAGAATTTAAGAAGGAAGTACAAAAAACAAACCATCCTATTTCTTTCAGATAGCCAGGCAGCTTTAAAGGCTCTTGATTCAAACATAATTAGGTCAAAGCTTGTCTGGAACTGCCTTGGAATACTAAATGATCTGGCAACCTACAACAAGGTAAAACTGGCGTGGGTACCAGGGCACAAAGGTATTCAAGTAAATGAAAAGGCTGATGAATTCGCCAAAGAAGGATCAGATCTACCATTCACAGGACCCGAACTTGTATTTCGGATAAGCAAAACCTCGACAGGCAGTGAACAGGTGGATAACCATAAAACACCAAATTCACTGGCAACATATAAGAGGGCACATAATCAGGAAGATCATGCTAAGGGGACCAAACCCACGCATGGCTATTGAGGCACTACAACTCGCAAGGCCTCATATATCCACCATTGTGGGATTATTAACGGGGCACTGCTTGCTGAAACACCTTCATGTAATGATATTACACAATGATCCCACTACGTGTAGACTTTGCATTCAAGAGGAAGAAACCTCATACCATGTGGTCTACGAATGCGAAGCTCTTAATGGGCGACGTTTCATCCTTTTCGGCCTAGAACCGGAAAGAAAGCCCCAGGAACACTTGGTAGGAAACCTATTAAAACTAATCAAAGACACAGGACTATTCCAAAGATAGTACCTGAATAAGGGGAAAGCGGGGGAATACAATAGACCCAAGAGGCCGCAGTGTTCTGAGCCAAACCTAACCCTACCTGCTTACAACCGATAAAGATAAAGATAAAAAAGAGTTGGCTATGAGAACAATTTAACAATTTATGGTTTCACTGTGTTCATGTCAAATTAATTTATTTATCTAGTTTATTAAAAATTGATATCAAAAAAAAATTCCAAAAAAGGGTAGTGACGAAGAATTATTTACGGGCACGTACCCAGAAACTAGAGACGCGGCAAAGTTCTACTTTTCGACTATGTTTTCTGTCCAAAAAACGACTTTTTTTTGACTCATTCGAATAGAGAAGTAATTCTGCTACTCTTACCGTACATAGATTTGGATATTAAAATGCGCAACCATATAAACAAAATCTATTTGGAACAAGCTTAAGTGGAAGTGAAATATGAAATAATACGGAAAATCTGTATTTTATTTTTTGATGGCTCAGAGAGCGCTAGTGGCACCCTGTTACTTCAGTAAATTATATCATATCTTCTTTGTCCATTGAATAATGGTTAAAATAAGTTATAAAACTGAAATTCCAATAAATTTTACATACATTTTTTTTTAATTGTCTAACTCTATCGGTTTTTGCGTTGTCTTTTAAAACGATCTGTGGTGGGATTCCGTTCTATCGAATTATGAAAAGCGATTCTATAACTCGATCTGTTTTGACTTCAGAAATCTTTGGAAATTCAACAAAATAATAAAGCATTCAAATTATTCTGACTCTTAAAATAATTATGGCAAAAATGGCAGCCAGTTACCTGAATTTTAATATTACTGTGTAAAATTTATATTAATCCTAACCAGATTCAACTTAGTTCCTTAAAATTTTACCTTAATTATAGTCTGAATAAAAGAGTAATGCAGTAAAAATGGGGATATAACGTCACATTCCATAGGCGTACTTTGAAATAAGTTTTTATAATATGAATAAAGTCACGTCATATAAAATAATGGTATATACGCACTTCATAGATTACATTTTAAAAGAAATAAGTTACATTATTTACAAAAACTAAAAATAAACGTTATACTTTTGACAAAATTGTTGGACTTTAACATTGAAAGAATTAAATTTAACCAATAATGGGCTAGACTTTTTTTAATCTCTTGGCAATAAACGTAACACTGTATTACATAAAATCAAAGATAAAAATAAAAAAGTTCAAGAACTATCTTTAAAAATCACTGTCTTCGCTATACAAAAATCAGACGACGGAAACTGGGTTTCCATTTACTTGTTGGTTTTCTCCATTTTTTTTTAGTATACTCCTAGTTATAGCTATTTCTCTAGATTTTCAACATAATTGTTTCATGCTGCTGTAGATCAACATGCAATTGATGTAAATGTTCAATTGTTGACAAACCTACTTAGTGTAGCTTTTTTACTCAAAAAATTGAATAACATTGCCTATTTTTATTTTGTCGTAGATTTTTACATGAACTGCTTTGAAATGGAGCTGACAAATATAGTTTGACTTTTTTAAGTCCATGCCTAAATATTTGTTCGATTGGCAATTCTTTTTGATATCTGTTTAAAAATAAAAACAAAATTATTAAATTTTAAATTCATAAAATATTTTAAAACTATTTACTAATTAATAGTTATTAAATTTTAAAAATTTAATTCATTTACTAAAGGAAAATAAACATTATTATTGCAGATTTGTTACAATATCCAAAGTTGGCTATTGCACATTCAAATCTAATTAGAAAGTTGACGTTTTCAGCTCATTTTCATAATTTGACATTATTGGCTATTAGTATCTGAATTAATTAAAGTATAACGATAATCGGTATTTAAAAACCAGATTTAAAATATTTTAGTTGACTTCCTAATATTCTAAATCATTCGACAGTATTTTTCGTAAATAATTAAGTGAATAAACCATAAATAATTACCGACGTATAAATACTAGAGTAGGCTTATGAAATATACTTACAATATTCATACAATATTAAACGAAAGAAGGTAACCCATTTCTAATAAAATAAATTATTTATTTTATTTTGGTGTGATCGTAGCAAAAATCTTGTGTGTAATTTAAGCAGAAAGTCATTTGGCAGTTTCAACAGATTGCCACGCTCTGTTGACGCATCGCGCAGCAACTTTCTGTATCAACTTCCAAAGTGCTACGTTCTGCTCTCACTACACAAATATCTATTTATTTATACCGTGGCTTAGAAAAACGATAACGACTGCAGCATGTATTTTTAATTTCTGAAACTTTTTGTCACAGGTCAATTCTAAAGCCGTCAATGACGAAGGCCAAGTCGGAAAAATCAATTTCAAAGAAGATAATATCATAGATCAAGTCGCAGAAATCGTCAATTTTCTCAAGTCGAAGACTATTTTAGGACAAGAATTAATTGAACATATACTACTCAAAGCCGGAGACGTTATCAAAGTAATAACTTACAATTACGATGGTTTCCAAAATAAAGTTGTTGACCATGCCAGAAATAAGACAACTCAAAGTCTCGAGCGAGTTAACAAAGTTTTAAACGAAGTCAATAAACGTAAGTGACAAAAATGTTATTGCTTATACTATTTGATAGTTCCTTTTTAGAATATACAGGGATTTTTAGAGTGAAATTTACGTTAACTGTAGGTTCTAGGTTCTATAACATTTCATTACCTAAGTACAGGTTGTTTTATAAAATAAACCTGGCTTTTTCTTTTGCCAAAACTCAACCTTTGGTATAAAAATTTCCAATTTTGCAGGTAGACTCCTCTCGATATAGCCAAAAAATTCTCACAAAAATAATAATTAAAGTTTGCGGTAGATTACTTCTTTTCGTTTTAAAAATAACACCTTGTTCAACCTAATTTAGCATATCTTATTAAATATTTAGAGAGAGGAGAATTAAGCGCACAAACGGTCTTCTAAAATTTGCACTTTTCGTTTCAGAGGGATTGGTTTCATTCAAATATCTTAAAACTATTTCAGTCTTTGCTTTATTCTAAAAATATATTACAGGACCGTAATTAGCTAAACCAATACTTTATTAAATTATCTCCTGTATAAATTAAGGATAAAAAAACAAAATCAATTGTAGAGAATATTCAACTTCTCAAATGTGGTCACTTTGATTTAAAGTCAATATAAACATTATTATTGAAAGTTTATATCAAAGAAGGGCAGGTTGACTAATAAAAATAGCATTTGGTTAAACTAACAACCTAGTAATAATGTTGTTTTGGTCCTTATTTTTTATTCTACATCAGCTCAAAATAATTAAAGTTACATATGTGCAACTAACAATAAAAGTAAGTAATATTGGTTGCCTAGATGTCAGTAATATTTTAAGAAAACAGAATTTCATAAATAATTTAATCAAAATTAGAAAACATATTGTATGTAACAAGTTACGAAATGCCATTTTATTTAAATTGTTGATGTTGCTCCGCTCGTCTTGTGAATATTTACTCGTTACATAAAATTTTATTCAAGGCGCATTACATATGTTTCGGATTTATTTTCATTTGCTGGCGCAGTCAATTATTAAAATTTAAAAAAACATTATGGTACAAAAAGTAACAAATAACTTAGAAATTTAAAATCAGGTATACCCAATCTTCTTGTTTCACGACATGTATTTTCGAAATAATTTGGTTCAATATTTGTCCCTCAATTATTATTTTTTTAATTTCAATTATAGAATGCACCAGAAGATCCGAAACGTATGTGGTACTATTTAAATAAAAGTTGTGACTCACATTACCAAACAACTTCTATTTATTTGCATAAAAACTTTCTGTGTAGTTCCGATTTTAAAATTTTTATTTTCGATTATTAAAAGACTATTTCTATTTCGTGGGTAGCCTCTCTGACTATTGCTTAGTTTCCAACTACATAATAGTATACTGTATGTATGTGCGGGCATAAAGTGTACTTTACGACACAAGATGAAATTAAGGAATTATGAAAATATCTACTTAACATTTTTTAGTCAAATTCACAAAAATCTGACACTTCTGGAACAGTCCGGTACCTGCAGTAAACGTTAGTCATGTTTTATTTTCTGGGTATCAATTTTCTGTTAGGAAAAGTCAGATTTTTGTAATCCTAAAATCTTTATTAAAACGGCGAAGTAGTTACCATCTCACACTTTTTAGTATATTTAATGTTCTAAAATTTAAAGCGATCTATTTTAAGGGTGAATTATACAAGGTGCTTCATGTGTGAATTTTCGTGTATTTCTCTTGAGTTGGAGTTTTGGAAACCACTTTTAAAACAATTAGGAAACTTTTTACTATATATTATACAGGATGATACTTTTATAATAATTATTTACTGCAAATAAAATTAGCAAAAATCACAGTTTTCTGCACCACCCTTATAAAAAAATATGAGTTAATCAAAAATTAATGTTTTTATTTCTATAAAGTTAAAATGAAATAATCTTTAGATTGTTAAAGATCCACTATATTTGAAGACCATAAGGGAAAAAGGGGGAATGTCACAATATATCAAAAATTGAGCTGAGCTAAATGCCGATATTTTATTATAACCAAACCTCCAAGACAAGAAGCTAGTATAGTCACCTAATATTAGTGATTCTAAATATCAGGCACAGGGGAATAACGAGGAATGTCCACATTATAAATGGTATAAAGGGGAAATGTCCAAGTTTTGTATTCGATCGCTATTATCGTAAACTTTTAAAGACAATATCATTTAGTTGTTTGGACGTGTCACACGTGTTGTTGAATTTTTTGCAAGTCAGTGCCTGTTTTAATATACCTAAATAAATAAAAAAATGGAAGAATTAGAAGAACAGCAGAGCGAAGTATTAAATATTAGGAAGTTTAGGAAAAGATCAAGTCATGGGCGACTTCGAGATGCTAATAAAAAACTAAAGTTAACGACTCATGAATTAGGGGACGATTGTCTGTGTAAGAGACTAAAGTGTTTTCAAAAAACCACTACTAAAGAAAGACAAGTCAATCAACTGAATTCAACTACTCAACAAAATGTATACTTATGTGGACTAATATCATGTAAGACTATCCAACAAAGACGTCCACGAAAATCTGAAGATACCGCATTACTGTACGACAAGTCTTATTCATATCATGTCAAAATTAATAGGGACGCAGATATTTTGGAGATACCTGTATGTTATAAGGCTTTTTTGTCCATACATGGCATTACTAAAAAGAAAATGGAGTACCTACAGAAATCTTTGAAAGCAACAGGTACTTATCCTACCGAATTAAGAGGTAAGCATTCAAATAGGCCTACAAAAAAGTCTGAAGAGACTATTGAAAGTGTAGAAAGTCACATACGATCATTTAAAGGATGTAAAAGTCACTATAGCCTTAAAAAAACAGATCGCCTATATTTAAGTGAAGACCTTAAAATTGCAAAAATGTATAAATTGTATGGTGAAACATATCCAGATCAACCAGTTTCATACGAATTTTACAGAAAGACATTGAATACAAAATTTAACATTGCTTTTGGTTATCCACATAAATATACCTGTAGTGCTTGCGATCAATATACTGCTACTAAAAAAGACTTAACGATAAAACTTAAGATTACACGATCTCCTGAAGTTACTATTAATTTACAAATATTAGAAAACGAAAATATGCTACATAAAAAAAAAATCGCATGTATTTTACGATAGAAAGCGTGCTTTGAAAATTCAATGTCAAAAAGATGGTGAAACTGAAGCCATTTGTATGGATTTCGCAAAAAATTTTCAAGTTCCAAACATTACTACAAATGATGTGTACTACAAAAGGCAGTTATCGCTTTATTTGTTTAATATACACATTTTGGCAAACGACGAGGTTGTATTTTACGTATATCCAGAAACAGTTGCTAATAAGGGAAGCTGTGAGGTAATTTCAATGTTACATCACTTTATTGAAAATTTTCTAGTTCGAGGAATTAAGCACTTGGAAATATTTTGTGATTCCTGCGGAGGTCAGAACAAAAATTATAATCTAATCAAATACATACATTATATTGTTAATGTACGAAAGAAACTGGAGTCTGTTAAAATTACTTTTCCAATTCGAGGACATTCCTATTTAGAATGCGATAGAGATATGGCAGTTATAAACCAAAAATATGCTACTGAACTTCCACATCATTGGGTACAAGAAATTGAAAAATCTAGGATTAAGCCATCATCGTTTCATGTAGAGGACCTTGAAAATAATCAGGATATTATCAGGAATTGGAAAACCTTTTTTGAAAAATTAGATTATAAGAAAAAGTATCCGTTTCCTACACGCCCTATAAGGGAAATAAAAACCAGCGATGAGCATCTGCGTCTGATTTTGCATAGATCGTCATTTAATGGAGCATGGGAACAATCCGTTGTTACCCCCCAAACAGAAAAGGATAAATGCAGAATTAAACAAGCACGAATTTTTGTATCCTGACCGCAAGTATGAAGGTAAGATTATTTAACTTTCTAATAATTGTTTACTCCTAACGCCATGAATGTATTTTTTTAAGGTCTCTATATCTACTGATAAGTTTCCAGATTTGCAACATCTAAAAAAGTTGTGCTCCGAAGAAACTCAACAATACTACGATAAATTACCTTATTCTGACAAAAAAAAAAACAAGAAGGAAAATAACAGTCCGATGTGACTAGACATTCCCCATTTATGTTATTAAAATTCAGGTTTTATTTTAGGACATTCCTCGTTTTCTATTGTATATTTTATTAATGTAGAGACATTCCCTGTTTTTACCGTGGATAATACGTTTTTTTTAATTATTTTACTTATTTGGTAAACAAAAAAACTATTTTTTGTTGCAATATTACTATGTAATGTTTATTATAAGTTGAAAAATATATATATATGTGTTGAATTGATTTAAATTTATTCACTACTTAAGGATCCTAAAGGTTTTAAAATTTAAAATTCGTTTTTCTCGAAACTTACTTTTCGTGACATTCCCCCTTTTTCCCTTGTGGTCTTCATTTGTTTTAATAGTTTTACCCGTACGCAAAAATAAACACAACATCTTCCAATAAAACAGAATTCTTAGCTCGGTACATCTTATAATTTTGATCCTAATAAACCAATGGATAAAAATAGTAAGAAATGAGAATATATAAATATAAAACCGTAGCAGTTTGTAGTTATTCGGGTATTTAATCTTATAACGCTATATTGCAGTAAAAACATTTTAACACAAACATTAATTTATTCAACATTCTAAAAAAATTAACGTTAAATTTGAACTTTTTTTATAAACCATAAAATACATAAATAGATCAGCATTTTAGTGTTTTTAAATACCTAGTGCTACTACAAGTTCTTATGCATACCAAACAATTTAAAAGTCGTTTGGATGGATACTTGGTATTTTCACATTTTTAGTTTTTTATGTTGTCACACAAGATTTTAGTGTTGCAAAACGTTGAGAAAAATATCAATAATGTTAAAATGTGCATCTACTTGTAAAAAAAAATTAAATTGTATTATTTTTAAAATGTTTTAATTTTTTTCCATTTTAACACAATTATCCGATAACTGAACGTGAGACATCCTGCAGATTCTGAACCTGTATATCTCTATATCCAAAATATAGCTTATAGAACATAAACCTACAATTTAATACCAATAAAAAAATATTTTGTTATACTAAAATCTTATGCGGTGTATATAATAAACTAAAAGGAGGCTTTGGAAAAACAAATTTAATCTGTTGGAAGATTTAGGTTGACAGATATTGTGTGTTGTTTTTAGTTGTGGTTGTGTTTTTATAATATTGACAGATAAACAAGTATTTCTAATGTTAATTAGAAATTAGTCTTTGTTTTTAAATATTAAAATCTAAAATGGCCCCTGCAAACCGAGTAACCTGTTTGTAATTGACAATATGCACCCCGACAAACGACACTCTTAATTTGAAAAGAAAATATAAAATTACATGACAAAGTAATTGCCCGAAGGGATGCTACTGGTTTTTCTCCTTTGCATATTGATGAAGGCACTAGCTTATGTTTTAATTGTAGAGTTATAGTCAAAAATGAATTACAGCAAATTGAAAACAATACTATTGGTTTCCCTTTTTTCTCCGGCAGTAAGTCGCTCCTGCACTCTATGCAATGCTCAAAATAATATTCAAAGATTGTCTCTAAATTGTCGTATGGACATTCTTTTTGTTTCAAACATGTATGTTCCCGAATATTCAAGAATTCATAACCTCCATTTCGATCAACAAGGATTTCTTCTTTGGGAGTTACAGAGGTTTGAGGTTTGTTATTAAACTATATGTTATTATTAATATTTAGCAATTCCTGCAATTTATAAGAACAGCTGCAAATTCTCAAGAAACGACCAAAAACTAGGAAAATATAAACAGCTTCACAGATGAAGAGTGCAAAACGCTAACATCATTTTCAAAAAGAGAATTTAGATAAGTTTACGAGGTTAGTGGTTGTATTAAAAATTGTGGCAGCCAAAGACCAATTAAAAAAAAACCTTTACTAACTTTTTTAGCGAAATTGCGGCATGGAGTTTTCGAGAGATTTCTACAAATATTATTTATTTTTAGTACCAGAAAAGCTACTAGTCTTATTATGTCTAATGTTAAACAATTCCGTACCTAACAATATCGGTTTCAATTCTATAACACGGAAACATTTTATTACTAGACATGTTTCCAAATTTACTAATCAAATTTATAACACCAGTCCCGATATTTCAAAAGTTATTGCTGATATAGATTGCACACATAATAAAATTGGTAAAAGCATTAATTTTCGGATACTGAGAAAATCTTATTCTGTCCATAAAGGAGAGTATTTGGTAAAGCTTAAAATAATTGTTGCTATGAATGGATATATAAGAATAATGATGCTGAAATATTGCGTAACGAGGCACAAAATTATATCGGAAATATAAGAGATTGGTTCCAAGACGGTGATGTCATAATAGTTGATAGAGATTATAGACATTCAATTGAAACGATGTAAAATCTCGGTCTTACCATTTATATGCCACCTTTTCTACCAAGGAACCAAAACTTACTAAATATGCTTGATGCAAGCAAATAAATCTCGTCTGGTAACAACTACCATATGAGTGGAAACAAGAAATGATCACGTAAAACGTTTATTAATGTTTTTTAAACAGACAATTTCAATGCATCATGCAGCTCATTTGCGTGATTTCTATTTGATTGCTGGAGCGCTCCTAAATAAGTACTTTCCCTTAATTCAAATTGAGGAAATAACTGAAACTGGAAGACAACTGGTCGAGAGATTGGAAGAATTAAACTTAGTTTATGCTAGGGTAGAAGCTGAAAATCTAAGGCAGTCGTCAGGGATCAGTGAGTTCCACTTAGCAATGGACATATTCCAAACTTTCCCTTCAATACCTTCAAACAATATCACGTCTATTTGTCCTCATCCTAAATACAGGATACTATTCAACACATCCACGCGACTTTTAGATTGCGTTTGGGATGCAGAATAACTTGAAGAAGCAGTAGGTCCTAAACTTATTGAAAACTAATGTGCTGATCTCTTTTTTTATTTCACTGTTTATAAAAAATTGCAAGTTTCATGTATTTTTTAGAAAAGTTTCTAAAAATGTTTGAATAAAATAATATTTGTATTACTAAAATGTTTTTACTGCAATATAGCGCAATAAGTTTAAATACCCTAATAACAACAAACTGCTACGGTTTTAGATTTAAATAATCTCATATCTTACTATTTTTCTTCTTTAGTAATGAAAATTTTAAGATGTCCCGCGCTACAAATTCCATTTTATTGAAAGATGTGTTCAAGTTTTCGTACAGTTAAAACTAGGCAAACAAATGGAATCTTTTAAATTCTAAAGATTATAATATCATTTTTATAGAAATAAATAATAATTTTTGACAGACTTATTTTTTTTGAAAGAGGGTGGTGTAAAAAACTGTGACTTTTGCCAATTTAACTTTCAGTAAATAATTATTATAAAAGTATCATCCTGTATAATATATATAGTAAAAAGTTTCCTAATTGTTTAAAAAGTAGTATCCAAAACTCCAACTCAAGAAAAATACACGTTGGTTCACACATGAAGCAGTATACAAGACATGCTTTAATATGCTGCTTTCTGGGTCGCCCTCTATAAGTCACCCTTAAAATAGATCGCTTTGACTTTAAGAACATTGAATATGTTAAAAAGTGTGAGACAGTAACTGCTTCGGCGTTGCAATAGAGATTTTAGAACTAAAAAAAAATATCTTCCCTAAATCTTCGAATTACCCTGTAAAAAAAAGATTTAACTAGAAATTTTTGATGTGAATAGGTAGTGTAAAAATTAAAAAGATCACATACGGCAGAAAAAACCTTAATTGTTTTATCCAGTTTCCGACTGCAGCGTTATAAAAAGTGTCAATTTTAGAACTTTAACAAAAACCAGTCATAGGATTGGATTGGGGCCATTGACACTTTTGGTCACCAAGTTGACTACTGCCACCTAGCGAAGTTTTATAACATTTGGCCGAACGCTATTTGTGCATAAGAAAAGTGCCTGGTCCTTTGTCAATCGTGTTATGGAATAAGTTTGCTACTAAAGCAACAAGTCCTTTTTACAAAGTCTAGCACCAATTCTATTAAGTCACTTCTAGGATCTTGTAGTGTCAGAAAAGCTACACCTTACTAATTACACCTCGTTTGTGATGCATGGGCATTAGCAGAAAAACCATTTATCACTATATTCTTTCAATATGATAATATAATATTATTATTAATAATACTATCCCTAATTTACCCCCTTACGAGTGAATTTAAATCCATAAAACCGACTGAGCGACTTTTGTACGGGAAGAGACGTATATTACTATTAATATTATTATTATTATTATTATTATTATTTGCCGTGGCGCTCTGGGGCGACTTAAAGATAATTGAAACGGTAACGCATGGCGATATTTATAATCCGGAGATCATATCAACAGAAATTAAATTTCTGCTAATACGGAATCCATCAAATCCTATAGAGAACCATGCAAATAAAATCACATGGTCTTCTGTAGGATTCGAAGCTAGTGTGTCTCTTGTCACAATAATTGCTTGCAAATGAAAGCGAGCGCCTTAAAGACCTACGCTACTGTTCCGATAATCTTTAAATACAACACTGATTATAATTTCTTAATTTCTTGCATATGGATCAGGATAAAAAAGATAAAAAAAAATTCTGTATACTAAGCTGGGACCCATGTTATTTGATCTCTTTAAATATAATTATAGATAGCAACTATCGTGGTAAGTCCTTGCCCTTATGACATTGATGTCGTTATTACCACTTTTTTCTTATAATTTAAAAAGTAAAAAAGTTTATTAAGATGCATATGAAGCAGATATTTTAAAATACAAATCTAGTAAATCATATTTGACCTTTAGTTAAACATCTCCATGATTTTTTGCAGAAAGTAGTGCTGAAGTACAAAAATATATCGGCTGTGTCACCAGTCAAGAATCAGACGTTGCAGATATTGCCGCTAATTTAGTTTTGAATTTTACTACATGCACTAAAAATGCACTTTCCCTCTTGGCAATTGATTTAACTCCATTGGTCAAAGTACTCTCCAGTACTTCCAAGAAAATGAAAGCTATTGCTGACGATCTGGACAATTCATGTCCTGGAACTTCTGTTTTTACTCTTGCTTGCCTTGGTCAGGTAAGTGATATTCATGATTCTTTATATAACATAACACTATGTCCTACCTATAAAGACTACAATAGTTGAAACACTAAATCTTACCTTATAATACGGGACAGAATGACACTTTTAGTACCTATTTCTTGCAAGGAAAATTTATTTTATCGTTTTTTCTTGCCTTGTAGAAGATGAAAATGCTTTGATACAGACGCACTAGCGATGGAAACTAAAAAAACATTAAATATTTGATTAAATAGTTAACTTAATATAGGCATTTATGGCTAAGGTCCTTAAGAGATTATCTTTGGATTTCGCGACCCGGGTTCAAAACCCGATAAAAGCAATCTTTTTAAATTTTATGTTAATTATTTAATTCAATATTTAACATAGGTATTTTCTATGATTTTTTTAAGACGTCTTCGTCAAGCGCTCCACCACTGCAGGGACTGCAGCAAAATATTTATGTGTTCTACATGGCAAGAACGGTACAAAAAAAAATTGTAATTTCACCTTGAGAAATAAGATACCTAAAGGTGCTGTCAGCTCCTTCCAATATCATTCCAAACAAATTAAACTTTGAGAAATACAAATTGTTAACAGGATTTTAATAAGTGCAAATAGTAGAAGGGGGGGGGGGTGAAGTAAAGTTTAGGGAGATTAAAGTAAAGTTTTAAGGGGTTGAAAAATGGTATTATTGCCAGTTCCGGCGCAAGTTGACGCTTAAAACAAAAATTAAAAATTTATAATACAAAAATTGTAGATTAAGCCAAAATCTACAGCTTTTGTAGAGGTCACTATTGAACATAATCTTTAAATTTTCGATAAAAATGCAAAAGTTCGTTCGATATTTTTTTTTTCGTTTTTTATTTTTCCAAAAATAATTAATTTTTGTGAAACATAACCTTTATACATATACCTTAAATAAGCACATTTTTTTAAAATAAAAAATCCAAAATATTTTGATATATTAATATTTTTCGGTCCAAAACTTTTGTTAAATAATAAATTCTACGGTAAAAAATTATCGTACAAAGTTCTTCAGATACAAACAAATTTTTTTCGATTTGACATGTAGTTTATTATAAAATAAAATAATATAGTAACGATTTAAAAACATGACCAAAAATGGATAAAAACGGAAAATGACATAGCAACAATGAATTATTTTTTCAACCCTTTTTGGTACGTAAATAAGAAGTAAAGAAGCATAGTTGCTAACGAAATTTTATTTTTCTAAAGTATTTTTATAAAAATATTAGATAAAATATAGAATGACCTATATTTAAAGTTCATCTTATTTGCGGTCAAATAGAAAGTGACATTTGAACCTTAAGTCTTAAAACCAAGTAAAACGTTCAATATAATCTAATATAAGCAAAAAGAAATACTAAAGTTACGGAATTTAGTTACATTGTTAGTAAAACCCTAAACAACTCAAAAAAATTTTTTTTACCAAAAAATAAAATTTTTTTCGTAAGCAAAGATGACAAGAACAAAAAATCCGGATTTCCAAATTTTGGAGAAAAATGCTCGCATAAAAGCAAGCGACCGATAGGGGTTGCAATATTAATCGATTATTCATTTATTTTTTTATCAAAAACGATCTATCGGTTATAATTATTAATTGATTATTTTCGATTTTCAATAAAATTATTTTAATTTCTTCAAAGATAATGGAATAATCTATTTTAAAGGAAATACAAAAATAAAATAGATTAATTGAAAATAATTGATCAATTGAAAATAATCAAAAATAATTGATTATTTTAAATAACTGATAATTCGGTTACTTTAAAAAAAATGGATTTATCCTTTAATCGGTTTTTTAATTAATCGATTATTTTTGATTTTTCAAAGGTATTTGAATAATTTAATTTAAAGGAAATACGAAAAGTATAGGTTATTTGAAAATAATCGACTGATCGAAAATAATCGTTTATTTAAAATAATCAATATTTCGGTTATTTTTTAGCATTATCAATTTATCGGTTACTCAGCTTTTAATTTTAAGAAAATAAGAAAAAATTAATTATTTGAAAATAGTCAATTATCCGGATGTTTTTTAGGAAAACCGATTTATTAATTGATATTTTTTGATTAATCAATTATTTTAGGTTTATCGATTATTTTCGATTAATTGATTCTTATTGATTAATCGATTATTTTCGATATTTAAAAGATAATCGAATAATCGAATTTAAAGAATAGATTATTTACAAATAATCGATTGATCGAAAATAATCAATTATTTAAAATAACCGATAATTCGTTTTTCTCGAAAAACAGATTTATTCGCCCACTCCAATAACTTTTCTTTGGAAGTTTGCAACATTCGCACAGGTTTAACACCGGTGGATGTTACATCTCTGGTCTCTTAAATCTTAGATTATTTTTTTAATATGTTGAGGTTATATTAAAAAGTAACTTCTACAAAAGCTATAGATAGTTGCTTGATCTACAACTTTTTCCTTATACGGTTTTGTTTTTGACGTCAATTTTGACCGGAAATCGCCTTTGCAACCATGCATCTAAAACTTTACTTCAGCTCCTCAGGTTGCATTTATTTTTTTTTTACTTATTTCAAGCCCCTTTACCAAAATCCAGTTAATAATTTATTTTTTCCATCTAAATGAATTAATTAGACTTGTCTATATTACCAATAGAGTTAACTATTTTTTTAAATAAAGATTAACTTAAGTTCTATAACCTACTAAAAAATAAACAAAATTACAAAAATTTATTTAAAGAATAATAAAATATTTATTTTAAAAATAATAATTATAAGAGCTGAAATTATAAATTTTACTAATTTATAGAGTAAAATAAATTCATTTGGAAATTCTGTAGTTTATGTAGAAAATTCATAATATTAATTTGTATAAATGTCGTTACATTATAAAATCCGAAATATATAGCACTATTCTATGTTCATTTTTATTCGAATGTGACATAAAATGTCGTTTTTCGTTCAGAAAACATCTAAAAGAAGAATTTTCAAAAATACTCCAAATAAACTACTAAAAAGTACATCTAGAGCTTAGGCCGCAAAGGTAAAGTTGCTTCGCTATCTAAACAATCTGTTTTATTTTGGATTTACCTCTTAATACTGCCGGCGATATTGTTCATTAAATTTAAATAGAAACATTTTTAATTGAATAAGAGAAATACTTAATAAATTATAATTAAATCGATTTGTAATAAGCACACTAACATGCCAGCAATTGTTCAATTTTTATTAAGAATTAGGTATTCCAAACAAAATAGTGGCCCGTAGGTAATGACAAGCCACGGACAGGCACATGATAGGTTATGATATGGCAGCACTGTGAGCTTGGTGAGCTGACAGGGTCAATAATATATATTGATCATCCATGTTTTTAAAAATCAATATAAGCTTATGTCTTGAAGTAAAAATGTAGGTAATTCTTTTTTCATTACACTAAAAGGCTGGAAATTGATTTTAAAATAATTTTAAAATTAATGAGCACTTGCCAGGCAATATGACCGCTCGCAAATGACCCATTTTAAGCAATCTATATACCTAACAATGACAACAGGCTTACAGGGTTTAGGCATTTCAACGACCTATCAAAATGCTGTCACATGTCACATAGAAACTGACGTTTAGATATAGCAACCCTGGAGACTGTTGTTATAGACAAGATCAATTAGTTGTATAGATTGCTAAAAGCGGGTCCTTTTACCAGCGGCCAAATTACGACCCGTGCTGATTAATCAGTTTAGCAAAAATGTGTTTTAAAACCAACTTTCAACCTTTGAATATAGTAAAAAAATAATTACCTACATTTTTACTTCAAGGTATAAAGCTATGTTTATTTTGAAAAACATGGATAATCAATCTATATAACTATCTATTTTATTGACCCTGTCAAAACACTATGCTTACAGTGTTGACATAATGTTGTGATATTATAACCTGTCAAAACCCACTGGTAGCCATTTTGTTTGGAATGCCCACATACTTTGATTACTATACGATGCAAAAGAGAGGTCCGATACGGCCAACATAGGGTGCAACCATTTTGATTCCTATGCTACAGTTTATAGCTAAAGAATCAGATCGCTCACTCTGCGTCGGTACTTTTGATCTTAATGTTCCAGTTTATACACTGCGCAACTCGGATAATACAATATATGACAAGCGCCTATAATAAAACAGCAGTCTTCTGCGTATCCTGAGTTTGTATCCCTGGAGTGGATATTATTTTGGAATTTTCAACTGGTCCGAGTGAGCTAACTGATTCTTTAGCAATAAACTGTGACTCCAAAAACATTATTCACTAATACTGACAGCAGCAAGCAAAATATCAGGTGCGTTTTAATCATCCGCTTCTGCTTCCGGAATTGTCGGTTTAGTCGTTTTAACCTGTCAGATTAAAACAAGAAAACGCACCTATTAAAAATATTGCGCCAAGATGTAGGCAACACGTAATAAGGGATCAAAATGACGCAGTTTTCTATCTCCTTTTAAAAGGCACTCAGAAAGCTGCGCAGTGCGACCATTCTCCGTATAGTAAAAGAAAATCAAAGTATGTGGGAATGCTAATATCTAAACTGTCAGTTCCCACTGGCAGCATTTTGGAATGCTGGAGTGCGTTTAGAAACCTCGCAAGGCGCGTCTGGACCACATACTTATAATAGGGTGTAGACACACCATGCGAGGTTTCTAAACGCTCTCCTGGATATACCTACCTAGTCATTCTTATAGATCACAGCCATCTCAGTTATAAGAAAAATTGGATTTCATTTTCAATATTTTTTCAATATCTATATGCACATTCGAATAAAAATTAATGCATGAAACACAAACGATATGTGTATTTTCGGACTCCTACGAATTGCCAAAATCGACTACGTCTCGCCTAGCAAACTTCTCGTAGTCACTCGTAGGACTCAACTTTTCATCCTTGTAACATAAACAACTTTTATTTTCAAACTATTCTACTTGATGAGAGGTTTAATGATGTTTTATTATAATAATATGTGATTATGTTTTCAGAAACTCTATGAAATATTTAGTGTATTTAACAAAGATCTTCCACTTATTGTTGTCCGTTCTACTTCCGTTCTCATCGTCGACCTGCCTTTCCTCCAGAACTCCGCTGCCAAATGCATGAAAAGTTCTGTTCCCGATGTGTTGGCCGAATTTGGAAAAGTGGTCAACTCAATTGCTTCCTGCAATAAGTGATATTTTTATTAATGTAGTGTTTCAAATAAAAATGTCAAATATTTTTTATTAATAAATACCTAATTGGTAAATTATACATCAAGTTTTTTTTATAAATGACTACCTATTTTTTCATTTTGACTTACACTTATGGCTGAATAATAATGGTAAGCCATCTTTAAAGCAATCAACATTAAAAAACGGACAGAAAATTTTTGCAAACAAATATTCTAATTGTTTGTAGTAAGAAAAATAGTAAATATAAACTTTAGAAAATAATACAAATAAAAGCAATGTTAGCTGGTCCGGATTAGCGATTGTTGAGGCCCTAGGCTAAAAATTACTTAGGGCCCCTCCTCCTCTCCCTATCCAGAACATTCAGCCTATTTTATAGGGTACATTTTTTTTGATGAAGTAAAATGTGACAAAAAAAAATTGATAGGTTCAAAGGTATTTATTAAAATAATATCTTGATTAAAAAAAAAAAATTACTCCAAAAAAATACATATAAAATCAAGGAATATCTAACACATTTTTACATTAACAATGTCATTTTAATCTTCGTTTAGTAATTTAAACTTCGTTTAAAACAACGGTGGAATCGGCTCTTAGCTACTAGCTATAATATATTGATAAAGTGTTATTGTCTTCATCATAAATGAATAGTGCTAACAAATAAAGTTAAAAAACATCTTATAATTTTTCATCTTTTAGTTACCTACCAAAATTAAGATACAAATAATTAAGTCTATCCAGTTTTTTTGTTCTGGCAAAATTCGCGCAGCGTCAAATGCCTCCTATGTTACATCTACCTTTTCTAACCTCTTTGATTATAATTATAAAAAATCTGCTAACTGTATTTTATTTTTCTCTTAAAACTATATATAGGTTTAATTCAAAAAAAAATTGCCACAAAATTGTATTTCAATGTTTAACAAACCTTTTCGAATTTGTTCATACCTACCTACTTTGTATTTTATATAGATAAAATTAAATATTTTATCAAATAAAATATGCAACACTTATTTAGAAATAAATACAACAGTATGTTCTGTGCTTCGGCGGGTCCTTTTTGCCCACAAATCTCTGTTTTCTACCTGTGTAAGTAAAGGGGTGCGTTAATCTTACTGGTATTTTGCCCACAGTAGCATTCAGGTACCTAAACCCGCAAATTACATCCGCCCACAAATAGGTACCTACCTGATTATTAATAATTCTAATAGGTACTTACTTTCGGTATCTACTGTTTATATTTCAGTCAGTTTTTATACGTTGATGATTGTAATTCGAGTGTTTATAAACAATAATTATTTCTATAATGTCAGCTACATTGATTAAAAGCACACGCGGGAAAGATGTACTCCTTTTGGAGAATTTTACGTTTGCCAAAGATAGAGAAATGAAAAGTGGAGAAGTTTCTTGGAGATGCTCCCAAAGAAAAACAAATGCTTGTGATGCCACTGTATTTACAATTGGTCCTGAACTTTTAGTATCCAGAGGCAACCTAATTCATAGCCATGAAGCAAATGAACCGAAATTAAACAGGAAAATTATTTCTAATTCGTGTAAGCGAAAAGCAGTTGCTGATATTTCGGAAAAACCTTCTAAAATTATCCGTAAAGTACTTGCTACTAATTTACCAGAGTCACTAACTACAATTGATGTGTCCTACATAAGAAAAACTATATACAACAGTCGTCGCAAAATACTACCAGGTCCATTACCTACAAATATACAAGAAGTGCATGATTCAGTTGACTTATATTCTAATACATTTAAAACCAGTGAAGGTGAACATTTTCTTTTAATAAATAGCAGAGAAAATAATATTATTGTATTTACATGTGAGACAAATATTCGTACTTTGTGTAAAATTAACGTCTTGTATATGGATGGAACATTTTCGTATTGTACAAAGTTTTTCCTACAATTATTTACCATTCATGGGCTGTGTAATGGACACTATGTGCCCCTGGTATATTGTTTATTACCAAACAAATCTACCGATATATACAAACATTTGTTTTCGTTATTGCATTACAAAATTTTGGAAACTTACAGTATTGCTTTAAATCCATCTAAAGTGTTCGTTGATTTTGAAATAGCAATTCATAAGGCGTTAATTTATATGTGGCCTAATACTGTAATCAATGGCTGCCGATTTCATCTACATCAAGCGTGGTATCGTAAAATTCAGTATCTGGGATTAATGACTGAATATACAACTAACAGTGATACCGGAAAATGGCTTAAAACATCATTTGGGTTGGCATATTTAAACGCCGATGAAGTTGGAGACTGTTTTGTGTTTGACTTAATGGCAAATAAACCAGAAAATGCCGATTACCTATTAGAAACATATATTGAAGAAAATTCTACATTTCCTCCAAGTATATGGGCAGAAAAACAGCTTCAATTACAAGAACTACAAATGCCTGTGAGTCGTTTCATTCAAGGTTTAATTCTTCATTCTACTGTACACATCCTTCTGTATATATTTTTATAGAAAAGCTTAAAGACTTTCAAATCGACACGTATGTCATAATACAAAGCTTAAGTATACCTAAGAAAATCAAAGACAAAAGTGTAAAACAAAAAATTCAGTGTTTAGAAAAATTTATACAGCGATTTGATCTGCAGCAAATCAGCAGATTAGAGTATATAAAATTTGTATCTATTATGATTTATTCAGTTAGAAATAAATTTGGGCAAAATACCAACAGGATTAAGATGACATTTTACTTGCTGTGGGCGAATTACCTATAGGATTAGCAGCTTTAAATATTTTGTGGGCAAATTACCTCCGCCCCTGTGCTTTATTTAGCAATAAATAAGTTGCTTTTTTATTGTTTTGACAAAATTATGTATAATTCCCATAAGAAGCCATGTATTCTGAACAGCGTTAGCAGTACCTACCAGCGCCCATGCAATGAATTATAAAAGCTCAATTATTTTGAGTATGCCGCATAGATAAATTAATAAACAAGATAAATGCACGGCACTGGTAACAAGTGTTTTAGGTGTTTAGTTCCTCAGCATACTACTTGGAGCCACCATCGCAATAAGATAAAAGCGATGTTGCCTGTTTCCATAAACTTTCATGAGATTAGAATTATTTCAAACACATTATGTTGTTTTTTTGTCATGCTCGATGCCACCCATATAATGGCATACTATTGCATACTATTGCATACTATTGCATACTATTGCATACTATTGCATACTATTGCATACTATTGCATACTATTGCATACTATTGCATACTATTTCATACTATTGCATACTATTGCATACTATTGCATACTATTGCATACTATTGCATACTATTGCATAATATTGCATACTATTGCATACTATTGCATACTATTGCATACTATTGCATACTATTGCATACTATTGCATACTATTGCATACTATTGCATACTATTGCATACTATTGCATAATATTGCATACTATTGCATACTATTGCATACTATTGCATACTATTGCATACTATTGCATACTATTGCATACTATTGCATACTATTGCATACTATTGCATACTATTGCATACTATTGCATACTATTACATACTATTGCATACTGTTGCATACTGTTGCATACTATTTCATACTATTGATGGGATATTTTAAAAAGAAGTTTGACAACCTTGTAAAAATGAAAAAGGAAATGGCGGCGAAAGGCGAAATGGCCAAATTACAACAATATAAGTAAATAAAAGTTATTTTATGAAAGTTATTTTTAAGTTAAGAAGATTTACAAGTGATGATTTAAAGTAATTAGTAAGTATTAACAATTTAATTCAATATTAGGTGTTAGATTTGTTTAAGGACTTTGTGTATCGTTGTTTTCTTAGCCTTTACACGAAATACAGGTAATTTCATTTTGAATCTATTTCTTCTTTTTTTAATATATTTGTAACAATATCAAAACATGTCTGACCCGGGTAAAGCTTCGAAGGCTAAAACTAAGTATTCTAAAATTTTTGTAAATTTTTTTACGACAATAAAGCACATCTCTCTCTCTCTCTCTCTCTCTCTCTCTCTCTCTCTCTCTCTCTCTCTCTCTCTTGTTCAGCTCCTAATTATTTAAATAGGTATTCTAATATTCAGCAAGCTGGTTATTCCTTCTGATGTTAAAATTCGAGAGAACTGGTTTAAGAATTTAAATTTAACTTTTGATAATAAAACTCGCTAGCTTTGTGAAGATCATTTTTTGCCAGAGTCTTTTAGCAAAATTGCCATAAAACGTAAACGACTAATTGTAAATGCTTTTTTCAGAAAAAATAAAATAAAAAAGCATCCTCAGTATGTTAGTCCACTACTTTACCTCCTCATGGTCGGATGCGGGCAAGAGTAAACAAAAAGCAAATTCTCGAAATAAGATTTTTTCAACCCTCGGAGTTGCTGCTCTTCATTTACTGGCTAAAGTTGGTAAGTACTAACAAATTCTTAATTTTTTATTTATAACAATTTTGTTTGTTAAAAAGACCAATTCCACCGTTGTGTTAAACGAAGTTAAAATGACATTGTTAATGTAAAAATGTCATTTTAAACTTCGTGTAACACAACGGTGGAATCGGTCCTTAATCAATTAATCTACATTTTTCCAAATTGCAGTAAACCTATACTAAATAATTTGATTGTTAAATTAACTAGTATTTTTATAAATTTTAATATAATTAATAGTCAATAAGTTTCACTCTTTCCTCCACTTAGATTGAAACCTTGCCTTGGTGAGAGATCTTGCGAACTTTAATGATTATTACAGAATTTAAAGGATATCCTTTTATTGTCTGTCAAAAATGAAAAGTAATTTTTAAACTCTAATTTGTTATATCAACTAGAACAGATTTGTTTTACAGTTAAAATAAAATTTAAATTAACTATTGAACTATGAGAAATAATTTTTGTTTATAAACTAATTAAAATTAACTTGTACTTATAAGAATTTTCAATATTTTGATAAGAGAAATTGTTCAATAAGGTATGTACACTTTTTTGTTTTTATAGAAAACGCTCTGAGAAAACACCTGCATCGAA